AGATTTGATCTCTGTAGCTGATGAAGTTCCTTCTTTTAGGACAGCTGCCAGTGCCTTCACTGCTTTGGCTTCTGCCAGGTTTTCCAAGACTGTCTTTGGTACCTCTCAAACAGCAAAACTTTCCAGTGGTCCCCAAAAGCAGTACAAAAGCTTGAAATCACAACCAGGTTTGCTGAGACTAACAGATTGTGGCATCATTCAATACCTCCTTCCCTTAATTAAGTGGAGCCGTGCTGTACTCAGGGATCAGTGATCCCCTCGCTGGCTGTGAAGAATCTCTGGGGTTGTGGCTAGCCTAGCAGTGGAATATTTATAGTGGAGTTTACAAACTGCGCCAGGTGTCCCACTAGGAGTACAATTATCACAGGAAAATGATGTGTGAGTGCTGCCACTCTGTGCAAATGTGCAGGGCTGGTAAGTGCTACTGACGCTGCAGCAGCAGTGGACAAGAAAACCAGTTTATATCAGAAGAACAAGGGTTGTGCACTTTGCTGGGGGTCTGAATGTTGATATTACAGGTGAAGGGCTACAGCCTGTGGTTTGTGACCCCTCACCATTCAGTCAGTATATTGTGTACATACATCAGCAGAGCAAATGAGTATCACATGCCCACTCTTCCTAAAGGAGCTGGCTTATAAACCCAAACAGCTAAATTGAGGTAACAAGTGGTTTGTTTCGACCTGTTTGGGGTAATTGACAGTTTATACTCCGGAAACAAAGTAAACACAAACTTTTTTTTTTTTCCTTTAGAGTGAGTAGTAGAACTTTATTTAAGGGTAATACATTTCTTGAGGTATTTCTTAGGGTTTGCAAATGTTAAAAGAGGACTTTTTTGCTATGTTTTGATTAACTAAGTTATACTAGTTCACAGGAAACTATTGTATCTTCTGAGTCAAGAAGGTGTTAGATTTTCCTTGCCTACTAAAGCCACTATTTATTTATCAAGCTTTGAGATGAGTATTTCATTGAGGTTGTGGTGGCAGAGGTGGTGTGTGGTTCACACGTTTCTTACTGTTGTTTGCTCATGGCAGGTTTCCTGTGATAAGCCATACTCCAAAAATACCCGAGTTTGTCCTCCCCTCAGTGTTAACTCACATTTAAATATTTTAATGGATTAGATTAGAATATTTTAGTAGATTTAACATAAATATTTAGGCATCCTATAGCCAGCAGCAAGAAATGATAAAATACTTTTCAACTGCCTGTTCAAAATTTGTGTCTATTTATTGTTATCTCTAAGATCTCTAATCCTTGTGCCTGACTCCTAGCAAGGTCCTACCATGAATAAATCATGAGTGCTGGCTTACCTAGCTAGGAAAGCCAGGAAAGGGGCTGAGTGTAGACCAAGCTTAGGGAACTTAGGTAGTTACCTAAGCCTGACCTCATTCTGAATTAATTTGTAGTGAGAATTCAAAGTTAGTTCCTTCACAAACACAGGTAAGTGTGTACAAAAATACCTTTCAAATCTACCTGAAGGAACTCAGTCATGTGAAATTCACTGAAAATCAATGTAGCTTATCCTCCAAGATCAACTGGATTCCTACAAAAGTGTCAAACATAATATTTCACTTTGCTTGTGCAAGAGGGTTCTGCTCAGTGTGGCACAGTTCTGGAGTGGAAGGATGCAAAGGATTAGATGGACACTAAAATGACAGAGAACTTTTTCAGTGGGCCATGGTGGGGGATCTTCTCTTTGCATTTGCCTAGGAGAATGTGGAGAGAAAATCTGAAATGCAGCTCCTCTAGTCCACCGGTTAGAGATAAAAATACAGCTTTCCCCCCAAAATGCATTTTCCATAAAAATTTAGATTGTAGGGATCTTGATGATTGCAGATTGTCAGTCTCACTGCTTCACCGGAAACTGAGCTTTGCTTCAGAGCTACTCAGACCTAGGGTGGTGAATTCCAGAGAAGATGTAGGAAAGCCTAGGGAGGTCTGGCCTGAGAGTGGAAGATTCAGCTTGGAAAGATGGACAAATCATTAAATTCATGGTGGAGGTAAATTCAGAGGACAAACAGGGAGTTAGAATATGGAACAGGAGGCAGCAGGAACAACTTGCCTTTGTCAGATTTCTCATCTCTTTACATTGTTGTTTTCAATGCAGGAGCCAGGGAAAGTGTCAGCCTTCTTATTCTAACTTTACTCGGATCTTCTCTAAATTCTGCTAATCTAAATTAGCACTGATCTAAACCAGCACTGCCACGGTACCTGATGTGTAACTCCTCATGCAGTGAAAAACTATTCTATCATTGTCTTCAGTGGAATTTTGAGTATAAGCAGAGATTAAGTATTTGCTTAAGTGATCATTTCAGGTGAGTCACACCTGTAAGATCTTTTAAAACACCAGCATTTCAGAGCAGCATATAGAATTATCAGGGAAGGATTCCAAAACACTTCATAAAAATAAAAGCATTAGTAATTGTGTAAGTGTAAATCAGAAGGGTACAGGCCTTCCCTATTTTTCCAGCATGTTCTCCAACCCCCTACTTTTAGATGAAAGTGCTGCAGTAAAGAATACAGCACATTTTCAGCCATGACTCTGTATTTTCCTTTGTGGTCTGTTTATCTTAGATGGATTGAGTTTTAGTATGTTTTAGTATGTTATGTCACAAACTAACAGGCACTATATTTACCACAAATATAAATCTGTAATGAAATATCCCCATCTTTATAATTAACAAAAAGGTAAAAATATTGTATATATTAAGAGTTTAAAACAATTCATTAACAATTGCTCATGTAACTGGAAATTAATGGCTGATTTCACCACAGTTCTGGCATTTTTAAATACTTACATGTTTAGAACTGTAGGCAAACACATTGCAATCAAAAAATCTGCTATGTGACTTTTATGCTGCAATGTATAATGCAACCATGTATGTAAACATATTGTATTTCCCAAATCACAATATAAATTTCAAACCTGTAAATTAGGTTTCTGCTCTGCTTCTCGATGTAGCTGAACTCTGTGCTTAAGAATGACATCATTGTTTTTGGAGCAACTAACCTACAAGAGAAGAGGAGAATCAGAAGCAGACTTTTAAGAGGAAAATATCAAACAGAATGAATGGTTTGAACACAACATATGATGCTTTTGGGTCCTATAAACATTTTATTGTTACTTGTTTGGGAAGAACTGCATAACTCACTGGGGCTCCATAACTTGTAAGTAATGCAGCCATCTCAAAATGTAGCAGATTTATCTGTCAGGGTGTTCAAATGAAAACGCAGGATCTCATTTCCTCCTTGGCCATTATAAAATTGACCCAGTGTTTAACAATGACCCCTCGGCATGAATTCCTTTACATTTACATAAAGCATTTGGATTAAAATGTAACCTGATTTGGATTAAAATGTAACCTAAAACTTGCATTTAAAAAATGTAACCTGATGGAATATTTCAGTGCCAGAGAACGAAAATCTAACTGCAACTTCTATTTTTAAAAAGCACCAGAAATTTAAGGAAACTTTCTCCAACAGCAGTAATGACAGGAGAACAGCCCATTTCAGTCAGACTTTTTTTTTTTTTTCCCTAGAAATTAACAATTGCCGTATAATTTATTCTGCACAGACAATAACTCGGGTCTCGATGAGGTGGCAGCATGACTGCCACTACATTTTAACCTCACTCTTTGCCATAGGGCCATGCTTCATCCTCCCTTTACCCTCAGAGAGGCCCCAAATGGTGCTTTCCAGGGGTTCCCTGGGCACTTGGTGGAAGTGCCTTTGGTGGGCGGGGGGGTCCTGCCCGCCCCTGGCCGCTCCGGTAAGGGATGCCTGGCTGCGGGCAGACCGTGCGGGCTCTGCGGGTCCCCACCGCTCCGATCCCGCAGCATCTTCAGCATCTTCCCCTGCCAAGAAGGGGATCGCTCTAAGCCGGCTCCGTGCCGGGCACTTCTGGCGTTCCCAAGGCTTTGCTGCGTTTTGGGGGACTGAAGATGACAAACCAACCCTGCAGCAGCCCCGCTGCCGGATGGAGTCCGCCTGACCGAGCGGCACAAAGCATTTCACTGGGAAAGTTTGCTATAAATAACACCCCCGCCGATATTCGCCTCAGCTTCACCTAGTAGTATATTCTTATTATTCACACGTTCTGTGGCTGATTGTGTGCCCAGGCTTCTTCCAGCTCACAGCCATCATCACCCCGTGTGTGGCCGGAGCATTTTCCTCTCCCATCCAGTCGCGACATCGCAACCAGCGGCTTGCGGTGGCCCTTGTGGCGGGAGCAGACCCGCGGCAAGCCCCACTCCTACTCCCATGCAAATTGCCTCAAAGCGGGAGCACAAACCTAGCCCCGAGGAGCGCCAGCTCCGCTTCTCGGGATTCATTTTAAGGCGGCACATAAAGAGCCGAGTGCTTCGGGGAGGCGCAGCCCAATGGGTCCGCAGTGCTGGGGATTTCGGGCGCGGGGAGGGTGCCCGGAGCGGAGCCGGGGAGCGGGGCCGGGGAGCGGAGCGGGCCGGGGCCGGGGCCGGGGCCGGGGAGCGGAGCGGGCTGGGGCCGGGGCCGGGGCCGGGGCCGGGGCCGGGGCTCGGGCGGGGCCGCCGCCGGTCGGAGCGTGGCCGCGGGCGCGGGGCGGCGCGGGCGGCGCTGTGCATGCCGGGCGGGGCGGCGCGGCCAGGAAGCGCTCGCTGCCGGCCCAGCCGAGCTGAGAGGAGCCGAACCGAGCCGAGCCGAGCCGAGCCGGGCGCAGGCGGCGGCGGAGGCGGGCACAGCCGCGCCGGTGCCGCGGGGGCTGGGGCACGGCGGAGGCAGCGCCGGAATGGGGGTGGCTTCCTGAAGCGCGGGGAAGGGAGGGCGGGCGGGACGAGGCTGGTTCTTGCCTTTCGGTGCCTCTCCGCCCCCCTCCTGCCCCTCTCTCTGTCTCTCTCTCTCTCGCAAGTTTGCCGCTGTGCCGCGGCGCCTCCGGAGCGGCTGGCTGCGGGCTGCCCCTGCCCCGCTCCCGGCGCTGCCCGCGGCGGGGCGGGCGGGCACGGCGGCGAGCCGAGGCGACCCAGGCAGCGGCCCCGCCGCCCCCGGGGAAGGCTCTGCTCCGGGGAGCAGCGGGGGGAGGCGGCTGGCACAGACGCTGAAGCTCCGCCGCCCACCCCCCGGCAGCGCCGCAGTCTGCCCAGCGCCGGCAGCCCCGGGAGATGGTGACACATGAAGCGTGCGGGAAGGACCATGGTTGAGAGGACCAGCAAGTTCTTGCTGATCGTGGCCGTCTCGGTGTGCTTCATGCTTATCCTGTACCAGTACGTGGGGCCGGGGCTGAGCCTGGGTTCCCCCAGCGGCCGCTCCTACTCGGAGGAGCTGGACCTCTTTCCCACGCCGGACCCGCACTACGTGAAGAAGTATTACTTCCCCGTGCGGGAGCTGGAACGGGAGCTCGCGTTCGACATGAAGGGCGAGGACGTGATCGTCTTTCTGCACATCCAGAAGACCGGCGGCACCACCTTCGGCCGCCACCTGGTGCAGAACGTGCGGCTGGAGGTGCCGTGCGACTGCCGGCCCGGGCAGAAGAAGTGCACCTGCTACCGGCCCAACCGCAGGGAGACCTGGCTCTTCTCTCGCTTCTCCACGGGCTGGAGCTGCGGGCTGCATGCCGACTGGACCGAGCTCACCAACTGCGTGCCCGGGGTGCTGGACCGCCGGGAGAGCGCCGCAGCCAAGACGCCCAGGTAGGCACCGGCCCTGGGCCGAGCCCTGCCCGCCGCGCTGCCCCCGCTCCCGCCGCCTCAGCCGCCCGGCCCTGCCCCTGCCGAGCCCCCTGCCGTGCGCTGCCGGCGTGCTGTGCCTCAACCTGCCCCGAGCCTTTCCTCGGCTGCTTCACCTGTCCTCCCCTCCCGTCCTCCAGGCTGTGCCCTGCGCCTTCCTCCTGCAAATTTCCTGCTCTTTGCCTCCCACGCACCTCGCACGCTGCGCCCTCAAGCCCGTGGTCTGCTCCGGCAGCCTCTGTGCACCCTTTACCGGGAGCATCTTTGTGCTGGTTACTCTCTCTTTTAAACGTTTAGCCTTTACCTCAGACATCACTTGCCACCTTTCATGAACCCTTTATACCCCACCCTTAGTCTCAAGCTTGTCTTTGTAACCAGCTTTGCTCCGACCCTTTTCCTCCAGCTGAAATTGTTCTCCAGTGCAGCCGAGGAGAGGCACGCTCGCCCAGCAGTGCTCATGCTTCCCTCCTCGGTTTACTCCCCACAGTCTGCACACAGTTTTTTGCACATTGCAGAAAACACTCATAAAACCCCCTTTTTATGTTCCTTGCTGTTGATCTCCATGGCAGAGTGAGTTGGGGAAAGCAGCTACCCTGTACTTGTTCCTTGAATGTCCTTCCTATGTGCCCTAGGAGAGAGGGAGAGCCATCCTGAAGCACCCTCGGTGCATCCGTGTGGAGCACCCGGTCTGTTTCTGCTCTGTTAGCTCATTATTCCTCTGCCTTGGTCTCGTCATGAATTATAAGCTTATAAGAGGAATTTTCTATTTGAAGCACTGTAGTAAAGACGGTGGTGTATATGAAGATCTCCAAAAGATTGTGTTATTTTAGCTCAACATACTGCTGCCTTTCATTTCATAGACAGTTTTTAAAATTATCACTGTTTTAAAAATTATCACTATTTTAGGAACTATGCACGTTCCTCTGACGTATTTGTCGTTCTGCTACAACACTTTGTAATCTGTTTGCCTTAAAGTTTCATTCAAGATCTTATGCTAATATTTGTTTATGCCATATACTTTATTTATAGATGTGTTGTTAATATCATACATAATCCCTTTAATGAAAAGTGGCCTTTTAGGAAGCACGTTTGGGCATCATATCTATGTTTGCCCTGCGTTTTTTTAAAGCGATTCTTAATGATATTTCTTCCCTTGGAGCTGTGTGCAGTTGCTGGGTTCTTTATTGTCTCTGTCATGATTGCTGCTGTTTTCAGCCCGTTTCAGTGTTAGTCATCCAAGTATGCTCAGACTGCTGTGTGCTGCCTGACCCAGCAAAATGAAGTATATAACTGAAGGGTTGAGGCTTTCCTGTACTCTCTTATTAATAAGGTGTTTGAGAACACCTCGGAGTAAAATATCCTTTGCCCATATAGGTTGCTGCTGAGATTTTTGTGAAGTGTGGCTAGGAAAAATGTGCAAAGTTCAAACCTGATTTTAAAAAAAGAAACAAAAATTACCCGTTTTGTGAACCTTGGCACTTGCCTAGCAAACCATTAACCTTATATAAAGACCTGTGTGGGATTATGAATTGTCTCAGAGCCTTGTGCGCTTCCATTGGCAGTTTTGTATGAAAATCTGTTACGTGTTCGGTATTCAGCTTTATTCAGCAGCTGGATTTTTTGTACAGGTACTTGAGAAAAGGGCACGTCAGGTTGTGAGGTAGCAATTAAATTCCTTACAGCAACTTGTAGGAAGTTGAGAATCAAAAGTCTGTTGCTTTATCTCACATGCTTGTAAATAAGATTTTCCTTGCCATTTGCTTTGGGACATCAGGAACTGTATGCTTCTACATGCTTCTTAATTGTCTTGAATTTTGGATGTGCAGGAACAATCATTAATCCTGTCCCATTCCCTCATGTCTCTGCAAATCAAGAAATAGTTGTGCCCAGTGTTGTTTCTTGACTTCCTTTAAATCTGAGTTAGAACTTCTTTTCCAGGAGTTCAAGGACTGTGATGTGGAAGCTTTAGATAATCTATGGTTTATCACCTTGGACTGTTAAATGAAACAAAATTTATGGTCATTGTATCCTGGGGATGGTTTTAGTGCAGCCAGCTGCTGGCTATTTTAATAATACTGTCCTAGGATCTACAGTCCAGTTCAGCTGGCACCTTATCCAAAACGTGGTTCATTTCATGCTTAAGAAAATTGCAAATAAGAGACAGGCAGTGCTTGTTTAAAATAAACATTTGATGGGTTTTCTTTATTAAAATACAGATAGTCTTGTATTATGTCCACTACAGTAAGAGCAGTATCACTTTGTTTGTCCATTGTGAGTGTTGGATCTCTTATGTTGAAATGGGACATCTTTTTAGGAAAGGTGTATGCTCAAGAGTCTCCTGTTTTCTAATGGAACTGAACTATGAACATATCTCTCTCAAAGGAAACAGAAAAAGGAGCAGCAAACAACCATTCTCTCAGATTCTAATATTATCCAGTCTGGATTTTGGAGTGTAGTCTTCAAATTCAGCTTTTAAAGCTAATGTATTGGCTTCTGCATTTGCTGCGTAATGCAGAGTTTAAACCTTTGCTCTTCCAAATATATGTTTGTCCCCAAAAACAAAACAGCTGACTTGTGATTACAAATAAATCTGCCTTCTAGTGAATTCTGGAAAGCATGAAGGTCACTCAGTATTGCCCACATGCACAAATCGTAAGGTTCAAGCTGTTCCCTCTGTAAGGAATGCAGTTTTGTTGCTGCCCAGTGCCCTATTGCACTGCATTCCATAACCTGGGCATGGAACATAAATTTGCAATGCAATTCAACTTTCTTCATTGTTCAGTTGTTCTGTGTCAGACTTAATGATTAGGAGCCCTAGATTGCCAAAGGCTGCATTTTTTTCTCTCTTTCTTTCTTTATTCTGCATTGTTGCAGTGTCAGGGATGGGTGTGTTAGCTCTAATGGGTCAGCACTCCAAAAAAGTGCTGGTTCTCACCCCCTTCCCACCCCCTCCTGGTGACTTGCCTGGTTTGTATTCAAAAGGCTTCTGGACTTGTTGAAGCAAATGTTATGTTTTATACACAGCCAGCAAAAGAAAGATTGATTTGTTTGGGGGTTGTAAAACTTGGGACTCCAAGGAACTCTGAAGTTGGCGGTGCTTATCAGTTAAGTCACTTAGCTGCAGTTCTCTTCATGGCTTTAGCAGAGGGCAAATTCCATGATTTGGGGAATGGAGGCCTCATTATTCCTTGTGCTGCTGGGCATAAATAACAGTTGCAAAAGACTCTTTTTAAAAAGAAGCAAAACTAGGATGCGTGCCTTGAGTCACCATGCTGATATTGCTGCAAGCAGAAACTCTGAACTGCTCCCTCCAGTTTGTTTCACTGAAAACTTTGGAGATCAAATTGCTTCAGTTGATTCTGGGGAAAAAAAAAAACCAACAAAAAACAAACTCATTTCTTTAATTTGACTTCCAGAATTAGAAAAATCTGTGAACTGACCCGCTAGTGCCTTGTTTGCTCCCAAAACAGGAGCACAGCCCTGGGGTGTTCTGAACTTGTGCTTGGAGGACACTTCAGTGAACTTGACTCTAATGTGCTGCAGAAGCAATAAAACAAATATATTACACCAAAGGAATTCTTTGTGTTTCCCCTCCTTCCTATTCCCCCAAAAAAACCCTGAACAAACCCCAGACAACCCCCCAAAAAAACCCTGAACAAACCCCAGACAACCCAGGTTTTGTTGCTGTCCTGTTGGTTTCTGCTGCCTGGTGAAAACAAGAGCATCGGAGCTGGTGTTTTCCTGGAGCTGCATTATTCACATGGAAAGGATTCAAGGCACACAGCTCCTCTAAAACTGCATCTCTGGAAGCTCCCTGTTGCTGGGGAGAGCCCATGGAGCTGGTGGAGTGTTGGTTGGGCATGGCTGGCTCTGTGCTCCCCCAGCTCATTTTTTAATTTATTATTTTTTTAATGAGCTGCCTCAAGGAAACGAGCTTAGCCTTGGCTTTTTGTATGGGTTTCTGTGCTCGTCTGTCATAGGAGTTTGGTTTCTGAGTTCATCTGTGGACAAAAATGACTAAAGTGTGTGCATGCTTCTGATTTCAGTATTTTTTTTCACAAGGTTTCATATGAGTAGGAAGAAAAAAAAATTGTAATCCACAGACTTTTATGTAAGAAATGCATGGCAGGTCAGTAAAACCTGCTGTTATGCAAATCAGTCTCTGATTAGCTATTTACAGCTTATGTTTTGGGTTGATTTTTTTTTTTTTAAGAAACAATTAACAGGGCTCAGCAGTTTGTTAGTTTGATTTTTCTGAAGTGTGAACTTTCACAGCTTCCAACTACATATCTGTCCCATTGCAGGGATCTGTTCTTGATGAGGTTTTTATTATATGTGTGCTTGTGAGCTGCAAAAACACATTGTCAAGAAACCAACTGTTTGAGAGTGAAAAGCCTTACCAAATCATTTTTATAATATTAGTACTTTTTAAAAGCTTGGGCTTGTCATTCTTTTAGGATCTGTGTGTGTTGGGAGTTGAGTAATACCTGTCTGCAGGGAGCAAGGGGCATTTTTCTTCACTCACCAGTTCAACTCAGACTTGTCATAAAGACCAGTGGAGAAATATCAATATAAAGCTATTTTCAGCAGCCTGGTTCATTTCTCAAACCTCTTATCACGTAGAATATTTTAAATCCTCCTGCTCTGATAGGAAACTTTTTGCACCTGGTTGTGCTCACCCAAAAAGCCAGGCTGGTCTTTCACAGCCAAACAATTCTAAAGGGCCAAGTAGTTTTGTAGTGAAAATCTTTAAATTTGACACAGTTACCAAAAAATTGGAACTCTTTAAATAACTGCTTTGGGTTTGAAGTACTGTATTTATCTAAGCTTGAGACTTCTGGCTGGTATGTCAGGTTTAATTACTCTTACTGGGTTTTTGTTGCTATTGTTGACAAAGCAAAAGGATGTGTGTGTTTGTCCTGACCTGATTTTTCAAAATGAGACATTTGGCAGTTTTTCATTAA